GAGGCATGGAGGCAGTGGTTTTTAAATTTGTGTAGAAAATAATCATTTTTGTAACATTTTAATCCATTAATTGTTTTCATATGTAGAGATATTTGTGTATTGCTGTACATCCTGTGTGTATTAAGCAATGTGTAAGCATTTAAATCTGCATAGTCGCATGACTAACAGGCTCTGCGATGTACTTTAGAGCAGCTTTTAGTCGGTCAATGGTGCAGTCTATTTCAGTTCCTCAAAATAGCGCCGCACCAACAATGCGACTTAACATACCTCCTTTTAGACAGACACACCCATGAGTCCACAAAGTGGCGCAAATGGATTTGCTATTTAAACAACGTGGCGCAAAATGTGAAAATTAGAGTTGCGCTGATGTTAAAATAGCAAGAAATCCCGCCAAACAAGTCTTGGGCATTATTGCGCCGGGTGTATGATAGGGCCCAAAGTGTTGCAACACAGGCTCATTGTGAATACGTACCCCCGTACACATTTCTGGCTACATAGTTTGAGCTCTCCAGAAATGGCAAGTCATTATATGATGATTGTTTGTTCTGTAGACAATAGGAAAAAAGATTGCTTAAGGCAGCTAGTGATATTGACCTTAAAATGGTTTTAAAAAATTAAAAACTGCTTTTATTCACGGTGAAATAAAACAAATCAGACTTTCAACAGAAGAAAAAATATTATAGGAAATAACTGTGAAAAAACCTTTGCTCTGTTAAACATCATTTGGGAAATATTTGAAAATGAAAAATAGGCTAATGATTTTGATTTCAACTTTTTATATATTGCCATCAAAAATGATTATTAATTTTTTTCATCAGTACATGTGATATATGGGGCTGCGTATTTACAATGCGCCTGTGTTGGATATGTTGTGCAGCCATAGTTAATAGCATCAATTGAAATCTTAACTGATATTAAAGTGTTACTCACTATACTGCTCAATTCTGTATACTGGGCTTTTCAAACAAGCACATCAGTTTGTCAAAAGCACCGCAGACCTCAAGCGTCTACATTACTGAGAGGTGAACTTACCGGTGGCTTATTTATAATTGCTTCTCAGATTAAACTCAGGCAACGAGAATCCCAGGCTACTTTATAATCACAAAAGTACAGTCGCGGTTTCTGCTCCACTGGCCTCATTTCATTGTGCAGGCTGAAGGAACACTTTTAATTCATAGTATTTGTGAATAGGAGTAAGACATTGAGAAATAAAAGATATTCTGGCATGAGGTCTTAGATTTATGAATCATCAATCAACTGTGATGCATTCTGGAATATTAATAGCTCTCACAATAGCCAATCAGAGGCATTTCAGTTTGTAGAGTCCATTTACCACTTAAAACGTTCTCCTTATCAAACGTTAAATAATTAAGAGCTTCATTGTGTAAAATAGACCATTTTGTTTAATATAATAAAAGAGTTGATGGATGTTAGTGATTGTAAGGACTCTTTGTCTGCTTTTCTAGGCTCTGTTTAATTCATTAAGAAAAGTGTCCCATTCATGCAGGGCGTCAGCGTCAACGCTTCCCATTCACTTTGAATGGGTGACATCAGGCGTTGCTGAACTGCATTGTGGATCTATCTGCGCCGCAGAAGTTGGGACTTGCTCAACTTTTCAAGCGCCGACGGAAGCGTCAGCCAATAAGATTGCTGTATGCAAATACACCAGCTCAGACTAAAGCCTATTAAAGATTAATTTCATTGGCTGACGCTGCTATGACGATCGCATCAGCCCCAATTTCAGACACGCCCTCTGTCAAGCGTTGACGCTGAAGCCCCATGTGAATGGGGCGCAGTTTTTGGTCTTCAAGCAGCTAAAGCCCAAAGTAAGCTTGGATTAAGCTTGGACAGTTGAACGCACTGCTTTTGTAACGCATGATACTGGCAACGGGAGTGGGGGATCCAAACGCAGCGTCTTTATTTTCAAGAGTAGTCAGTCAGGCAAGGGTCAATACAGGAGCAAACAGGTACATACAGGACAATCCAAAAGAGTGGTCATGTCACAGAAGAAGATATCGGTACATGTGGCTATAGTTGCATAAATTAACAAACAAAGAGAGGGTCAGGAAACAATGCACAGAAAATCTAGACAAAAGTTACGTCTCAAATCTCATACTTATGCACTATTCTACGCCATTTTGTAGTGCGTTCACACTGAAAACTCTAAAAATAATAAGTGCACTTTCATTTCCCGGATGATGCACTTATTCGACCGGTAAAATTAAATGTGGAATGATGGAAATTTCATGCACTCAATGACCACAGCTCTGCTCACGTAGTGGAAGGGGCAGAGCTTTTGAGCACTCATGTTAGATTATTTATTTTGGTTTGCGAAAGCAAAATTCTCTTACGAGAATGATTATAGCGCCTCCCGATGGTGGATGCAGTTATACTCATGACAGGTATTATTTGGTACTTTGGTCATTTATTTCACTAATATAGCAACCCTCTTGCGTCATCTAGGAAATGGTTTGCTTAGTAAATTAACCATTAGTGTTCCATTTGGGACAACACTACATACATATACTAAGTGTATGGTGTGCCATTTGGGACGCAGCTAAAGAACTGCTTTGTAGTGCTACAGGATAACAAGACTGAGCAATGTGAATGAGAAAGTGAAGTGTCTATATAGTCCATGTAATGAGTGAAATGAGTGACACAGCTGTGTCTGAGTGTGAGTGTCCGGATTAGGAGTTGATGGGTGCAAAGAATTCTGGGAGTTGTAGTTCTGCAGGAATACCGGAATAAATCTCCAGCATTGATAACGCCTTAAAATGGATTTAAAAACAATTAAAAACTGATTTTATTCTAGCTGAAATAAAACAAATAAGACTTTCTCCAGAAGAAAAAATATTATCAGACATACTGTGAAAGTTTCAATGCTCTGTTAAACATCATTTGGGAAATATTTAGAAAAAAGGGGCTAATAATTTTGACTTCAACTTTATATATATTGCAATCAAAAATGTTGATTTAGGGTGTTTTTCATCAGTGGAATATGAAAAACATTTGAGCTGAAATTGTGTTCCTTGGTGATTCATAAAATGCAAATTAATGGCCACAGTTTATATACTTTTTTGACTATCAATGTATTGACATGCCACATTTGGATCACCAAGGAACTCCATTTCAGCTTAAAACTATTTAAATTAACTACTGAAGAAAATATGTAACCTACATCTATTGCATTAACAGCAAATCTTCTATTAAAAACAACTTTTAAGAGCTGAAGAGCTAGTTTTCAAAGCCCCTTAAGAGAACTGAGTCTGGAACCAGAAGATTGAGTAACATCCATTTCAGGAATGGCAACCAAACTAATCGATGAC